GGCGGCGGCTGCGCACGGCCTTCAGCGCGGAGCAGATCAGCACCCTGGAGAGCTCCTTCCAGCGGCAGCGCTACCTGGGGGCGGCCGAGCGCCGCCAGCTGGCCGGCAGGATGCGGCTCTCGGAGGTGCAGGTGCGCCGGGCCGTGGGAGCGGGCACGAGTGGGAACGGGCACGAGTGGGAACGGCCGGGGCATGGGCATGGGAACGGCTCAGGGCACGGGCATAGGCATGGCTGGAACGTGGGCATGGGAACGGGATGGGGCATGGGCATGGCTGGGGCATCGGCTGGGTACCGCGGCGACCTCACCTCTCCTCCCTCCCTCCTCCCCTTTCCCCCAGATCAAAACCTGGTTTCAGAACCGCCGGATGAAGCTCAAGCGGCAGCTACAGGAGCTGAGGCCGGAGCCTTTTTGCAGCTCCCCTCTCCCTTACGGACCTCAGAGCAGCGTTGTGCCCTTGCCACTCACGTACGTGGCCCAGCCAGCACCTCTGCCCCAGCAAGGGGCTGCTTCTGGGGGCTTCACCTTGGCAACGCTGCCAGCACCCACCCTGGACCTCAGCAGCGCCTGCAGAGCACAGCCTGTGGGCTTTTGGGCAGCACCCTGCTTTGTGGGGTACAGGGATCCCAGAGCTTTCCTGCTGGGTGTCTGACCCTCTGATATGGACTATGACCAAGGAGGATTTGCACTACTGATAGCTGCCCTCTTCTGTAACTGCCTGGTGGAGTTATGATGCAGCACTGAGCAAAATATTTCACAGAGACATACTGCACAATCTGAATCATGGACTTCAGGCCCTTGCATTTATAGGCAACTGTGTAAAATAGAAACAGTGGAACAAACACTAATATAAATGGAATCTTTTAATAAACCTAAACTTTTTCCAGCTTTCATGTTGATTCCCTCCACAAGGATTGTAGCTTTATTTATCCTGCCCTAAAAGAGTGCTTCTCTTCATTAGAGGAAGTATTGACTCCTTGTTCTCTAGATCTGTTCCGGCCACCTTCAATTTACTGGGAGTGAGTGCAAAAAAGCATGAATTTCCCTCTGTTCTCTAAAAGCAGGTGTCCAACCACTCCAGCTACTTCCTAGGTGGCACGTCCTCTGATGAGACTGCGCTTTTAACCAAATAAGTGGATAGACCTGTTACTAATACTGGGCTTGCTATAGTAGTGGGACAGATGTTTTCTGTTGGAGCCCTTTAAATAACTGCATATGGTTTTAAGATGTAAAAAGTTACTTTCTAAATAAATATGTAAGTATATCGTCACACTTTCTTGTGCTGCCTCAGTAGATTAGTAAGGGCTTGTCTAAACAGATCTTGGAAAGATGTAGCCTTGAAATTCCTTATCACACAATGGTATCTTGGCATCTCACATGCACCTAATGGGATATGAGGATGATGATCAAAAGAAATGTAACATTCCAAAGCTGGTTTTCCCCAAGTTGCAGTAAAGTTTGTTACCGTTGTGCTATGCGCTTTTAAAATTTGAATAATGCTCTAGAACACATAAAATCAAAATGGCCTGATTTCAGGATAGAGAAAAGGCGCTGAGAAATGATCCTTGACAGATGTAAATTGTCATAAATTTTCCAAAGTCAATTGTCAACTCACATGAAAAGAACAATAAAAATTTACATCACTTCAGAGTTGATCTCGGAGATTATTAGAAGATTTCCAGAACATTTGTAATCTGGACTCATTTAATGAATGGTCTGAAGGTGCTCTGTCTGTCATCCTTGAACACACCTATTTTCTTTTGTATACAGGGCCAGTCTGCCACTTGAGTACACTTGCCTGGTAAAAACCAACATTATGTGCCCCTGAAGGCTGTGGCCTTTGGTTTTCTGAGTAGTTGTCACATTTGGAAACCTCAATTATTTTGTAATCCATGCTGTATTTTTCTAGCTTTTGAGGTATGGGCTCAGGTGCTATCAATCTTGCTGAAATCTCAGGAATATGATGAGGTTTGGGATAGGAAATTTGTTGACATGATATTTAAACTCCTTTTGAAGGGAGGCTTATTTCTCAAAGACAGGTATTACTGACCAGTTATACTGATTCGAATTTAAAACAAAACAAAACCCAATTCTCTCTGACTTTCAAATGTCATTAGGGAACTAGGAGGTTTTCAGAAAGCTCTGTAATGAATACTTTCTCTGCTCTAAAGCAGTGACATTTTTGAAATAACAAAACAGTCAAGGCCAATAAATATACAGTTTACCCCCAAAAAAAGGAAAAGGTCTTAAGAGTGAGACTCGATTTGGCTACCCCGTTTTCAAGGGGAGTGTTTCAGGGGTTGGGTGATCCCCTTATAATCTTGCATGGTCACAGAGAACACCACCTTTCCTCCAAATGCTTGCTTGCCCAATACAAAAGGAATAGTACAAGCTCTTCGTGCTGTTAGAAGCCAGAGCCCGCGGTATGGGGCGAGGGGGGGGAGCAGCACCCACCCCCCCACCCCGCATGAGGGGACCGGCCGGGGCTGCCCGCAGCGCTGCGGGAGCGCCCTGACCAAATGGGAGGAGGGTGAAAGGGAAGGGAGGACCGGCACCACCGCAGCTGGGCCCCGGGGGAAGGGGGGAAGGAGAGAGATGAAAAGGCTGGGGAGGAGAGGGGGAGAACAAAGTGCTCCCGCTCGCGGAAGGGAGCTGCTCCCGCGGGAACAGGGTTTGTGCGGGGCTGGAGCGGCCCCCCCTCAGTGCACAGGTTCAGGGCAAGGCAGAGGCGATTGGGGCTGTGGGGACAAGGTGTAGTGTCG